ACTGCTCTGCCTGCCAGAGGGCCAGAGCCATAGACTGTCCAGTTGGCATCTCCAATGCTCCTGCGGTTCCCAGCAGTTGATAGGGAACCCAGGCCCACTTTCTACAGTGGGTTCCAGCACAGGGACCCTATAACAAGCAGCCAAGGTCTGCACAGTCCTACCCCTTACTGCTATTTCCCTCAGCTTCTTCCTACCTAGTCCTCTCGGGCTTCCTTTTCCTAAAACATCTCTGAGGCCTTCGTCTCGGGTTAGAACCCCGGGGCTTATTTTCTCTTTCTCCTCTCCTCTGCTCCCAGAGACGGACTGCAAAACCTCTCTATGCAGCCCCTTTCTACTGCAAACTTCCTAGATTTATAATCCAGCCTACTCCTGCCCAGCTGGGATTCTTGTTCACTTAGGCCTGGCTCTCCAGATCCAGGGAAATACCCTAATTGGCCCCTCGGGCCCACATTAACCCCTTCAGGGCCTGTGTGAGGGTACACCCCCATCACACCCTCTTATCCCATGACTCCTTATTTGCTTAAGAGCCTCATCAAAGGCTTCCTCAAAGTCCAAGTACACTATAGCCATGGGATCATCCATGTCCACATGCCTGTTGACCGCCCCAAAGAAATCTAACAGATTGGTGAGACATGATTTCTCTTTACAAAAGCCGTGTTGACTCTTCCCCAGCAAATTGTGTTCATCTCTGTGTCTGATAATTCTGTTCTTTACAATTGCTCCAACCAATGTGCCTGGTACTGAAGTTAGGCTTAGTGGCCTGTAGTTGTCAGGATTGCATCTGGCGCCTTTTTAAAAAATCAAGATCACATTAGCTATCTGCCAGTCATCTGGTACAGGTTCATCCTGGCCTATCCTCCAGATGCAAGCAGGCAGGTTAATTGGCTTCTTAGATCCATATTAACCTTTCTCACTGTGTGTGGGGTAAACACCCCATCACAGCTCCCCACACAAATTCTTGCCAATGCACTTTAGTTCTAATCTGCACTCCGCCCTGATATGCCAGTCCTGCCATTCAGGGACATAGCTGAGCTAGAAAGCTGAAATGTTTATAGCCACTAACTGATCCATTGTCCCTGCTACTCACACTCTACCTATAATCTCCCAAAGTAGCCATGCTGTCGTGCCCTGTAGGCTTTCTCCTGCAGTGCAGTCAGTGAGATGCAGGGAGCTAGCTGGGTGTTAACAACAGGGCCTCCTATGGAGCAGAAATCCTGCTAGTGGCCATCAGAAATACTGTCCCAGGGAAATTTTTTCAATTACACATGCCCCCCTGCACCAAGCTGCCGTGCAGGCTTGGGTTTAGTTTCCAATCTCCTGGCTTCCCCGGGACAGCAGGGGCTGCAGAGATAATGAGCTCAGCATGGTGGGGAAGGGAGTGCCCTCCCTCATTCAATAGAGACCCCTAGGACTGATTTAAGAGCGGTGATGACGGGCTCCAGAGGAAGCTATGTCCAGTTCTCAGCAGGAAGGGAAATGACCGCATCCAGGGGCGGTTAAAGCAGTGGGGGAGTCGAAAGAGCAAGCGCTCTTCAGCAATGATGGAGTGCCTGGGGTGATGGGACATGAGAGTCAACATCCAAGCCACCAGATATGACACTGGCAGCTTTTCATACAGTTTCCATTGTGCTTTTACTCCAACTCCGTTGTGCTTTGTTACAGCCCAGGGGATGTTCACGAACATCTCTTGGACACAGTGTCCCAAACTTGCATTATACACACCAGTATGTCAAGGAACCTGGTGATAGTCTGGTCACACGCTAACCTGGTATCTAACAAGCCAGCTCCAGCTTGCAGTGCAGACCAGTCCTTGGCTGCTCCACAGCCGAGAGGATGACTAAGTGGTAACCATGTGGCTAACTGGATGCTAGCTACCCATTTGGCTCATGATGCAAAGGGTGGGACAGGTTATTTTCATACCTTGCTCTTAGGTGGAGCAGACCAGAGAAGGAGAGCAAAATAAGCACATAGAAATTGCTACACCAGATCACACCATTCAGTCCAGCCTCCTGTCTCTAAGTGGTCAGCACCAGCTGCTTCAGAGGAAGATGCGTGAAGCCCAGGAGATAGCTATGGGATAACCTGCACCCAGGGGAAGTTTCATCCTCACTCCCATTAGTGGGCTTATACCCTGAAGCAGGAGAGTTTATATCCTTTCCAAAGCTCATGGGTTCTTCATCCTTATTATTACAGTTCTGGGTGCTCTCATTATCTACATCCTTAGTGCTGACCCAGGGCATCACAAAAGATTAATCCAGCACTGCTCCTTGGGGGCTTTGTGGGGAGGCTGCAGCCCCATCAAGTGAGGGCGGGGGGTGAAGGGATTGAACGGCACTGCTGTTGTTTCCAGGCTCATTAATATCAGCCCCTCCCCACCCACCCCGTCACCCCTGATCAGGCCTGTGAGTTCTCCTGTGATAACATTCTGTTTCCAGCCCATTTTATGAATCTAAATGAGCTCTTGGGCTGTACCCAGAATGAGGTGAAAAAATGTTAGGCATGTCCTCCGTTTCTACATGACAGGTGGCCACTCGGTCGCCAAGTCAGCAGCTGTTGACACAGGAACCCCTGGCTTCACGGAACACAGGAAGTGAGGGCCTTTCCGGCTGTGCTCTGCCCAGATGCTTCAGCACAGGGGCAAGCACTGGACATTTGTGTGGGAGACAGTTAACTGTATTCGTCACGCCCTGCACAGCATGTGGGTCAAAGCTGAATACATCAGAGCTGGGCAGTCACATCCCAACCTACCCCTCTGCAAAGAAAAGTTGATGGGTGCTCCCCTTTGCTTTGAGAGCTGGTGAACACAGCCCTCAAGTCCCGTGTTTTTTCTACAGAATAGGGCACGCATCAGATGATGCTTCCTGCCCATGTGAATTGACCCCGTCCTGGAGTGACCCATCTAGGGGTAATTCAGGCTCCATGACCCATTCAGCCGTTGGCTTCTCTGCTGAGACTGCAGTTAGTGCTAACCACGGTGGGGTTTCTTCATAATATGAACACTTGGCCCATGAAGAATTAGATTGAGCTCTAGCACCTTCCTTCCACACCCAGCTATCGATAGACCAGAATTCTCAGTCACTATCAGCCCAGGCTGTATTCAGTCTGGTGACTTGGAACTGTAGGAGGGTCTTGTGACTAAGGCACTGAACTAAGACACAAGAGATGCAGGTTTAAACCCTCTCTCTGCTACAGGTTTCCTGTGTGACCCTGGTCAACTCACTCAATCTTTCTGTCCCAAATTTTCTAAGACCTGGGAATTGCAAACCTCAGAGGCCTGGGAATTAGGTACCTTTGAGCATCTGAGCCTCAGTTCCCCATTAGTGAAATGGGGATAATTACACTTCCTTTCTGCTACCCGCCCTTTGTCCATCTTGTTTATTTAGTCTGTTAGCTCTTCAGAGCAAGGACTTTCTTCCTGTTTGTTTGTAAAGCATACAGCACAACAGGCCCTCCATTTTGATCCAGTTAGTAGCTAATGACTCCATAGGCCATTACTAGGCTCCTGCACAATGCGGTTCTCCAGAGTCACAGTTTAGTACTGATAAAAATTATGTGGCTGGTGTAAAATGCACGGGCTTAATCTTCTGAGATCCAGTGTGGCCAGATTGTAAATTGTTTCCTTTCCAAAGCATTTTGCTGCCTTTTGTACCTGCTGCCCAGCAATTGGAAACCCATTTCCTGCCCTTTCATCCTCCTGCCTGTGTGAGCTCTGCACGTCAGTGCAGCCTTTCTGGACTTTATCTATTTCTGTTTTCTCGTCTCAGGGGTTTTTTCCTTCATGCTTCCACTTCCTGAGCATGCAGCTGGCCCGGCCGTTAATAAACAAGGTCACACTTCTGTGTGTGGTGTTTTTGTGTTCGGTGGGGAGGGCAAGCGTTCAGAGCACATGGATTTTCAAAACCTGTACAAAAGGCATAGATAAGGGGGAAACGAAGAGAGTCCTAAAAGTCAGGTTCTCTTGAACAAAAGAAGGAAGATGATCTTGTGGCCAAGGCATCAAAGCAGGAGTCAGGACTCTTGGGTTCTATTCCCAACTCTAGGATGAATATGATGTGGCTTTGGGGGTGACTTGGCCTGTCTGTGCCTCACTTTCCCCAGCTGTACAATGGGATTCATATTTACCTCCCTCACAGCGGAGAGGTTGTGAGGATTAACTAATTGGCCTGATCTTGCACTTCTGTGCATTGCGATTTTGAGTGCAGTGGTGGTCAATGGGAGATGTAGCTCCCCCTGAAAAAATGGGCACAAGGTTATTGAGCGATTGCTACTGATCCAGGGCCAGACCCTCAGCTACTGTCAATCAAACCCAGTGGAGCTCTGCTGATTTATACCTGCGGAGGATTTGGCTCTAGCACTTGCACGCCCCAAGGAGTGAAGTATTTTAAAAGGGCCTCAGGGCTTTGCTCTAGAAGGTTAGAAAATCTGGCCTGGTGTCATTTTAGCGGAAATAAATCCAGCCGGTTTGATATTTTCATTTTCTTTTTATCGTTCCATTAAACACTGATTCATTTTGTAACATGACTGCGAAGGAAGCAATTTTGAATCCGTTCCCTAAGGGAGGGAGCATAAAATAGAACTCAGCTTCGTCTTACACAGAGAGGGGGCTGGAAAGTGGACCTGGATCCCCTCCCGTCCATAGTTCAGAGCTGGAGTTTTGATATGGCTGGCTGACAGGACAAGGGAGGAAGAGGAAGTAGCCAGTCATTCTACACAGGAAACCTAGCTTCAAGCTCCTGCTCCACCACAGACCTCCTGTGTCACTTAGACCCAGATCCTCGAAGGTACTGAAGCTCCTGACTTCCATTGATTTCAATGGAAATTAAGAGTCTAAATATTTGGGAGGATCTGGGCCTTAGTTCCTGTTTCTGTTCCCCCATCAATAAAAATGGGAATAATACTTTCCTACCTCTAATGTGTGTTGTGAGATTATTATGGTAATGGTGCTTAAATAAGTACATAGACAGAACTCTGATTCCATTGTATTAAAGGCAAAACTCCCTTTGACTTCAGTGGACACATGGGGCTCACCCGTGAAGTTTGGCTCCAATATATGGCATTCCCAATGTTCTGGGATATTTGGATGTAGGGTTTTGATTCTGGTCTGTGTCTAAGACATGGGGCAAATTCCCCTTTCAGTGGCAACAGCAATGCTGTATTTTCCGCCTCGCTGTAAATGAGAGCAGGATTTTAAATGCCACCAGCTGTCTTTGTAACCTCCAGGATCAGCTGCTGAGTTCCTTCCCTGTTCCTCATTTGGTCATTCCAGCACTGCATGGAAAAGAAATTTAAACACTGTAGATGCAGTGCTAGCTCTGCATGCCCCACACACCTATCTTGGCAGCTACATGCTTTCCAAATCTCGGGCACAGAGCAAAACAAGGCGGGTGCATTCTCAGCCAATAGAGGTTTATATTAACATTTACATTAACTGCCATGTTGATAGATTACATTGTTTGCATGCGTCATGCAGCTGATTTTCAAAAGGACAGTATACACCCACTCTTCTACTACTATTTCCAGATTAACGAAGCAAATATAAATCCTATGTGGATCTTTGTAAAGCTGGAGCAAACACATGTGCAAAGTTTAAACCGCAGTTTTCATTTTTCATGCAGTGCAGGAGTGGCACTTTCCTAAAATGATGGGGTGGGCCCAAACTGCAAAACCAGATCTGAATCCAGGGCTGAACTTCCCCACAGCTCAGGGATATTGGGATCCAGGTTTTTTATTCAATGCCATTGCTCTTTTAAAAAAAGAGAGAGGACAGATCACCACTTCACATGAGTCTGGGAGAGCAATCAAGAAAACAGAAGTTGACCAGGGATAGGGGAGGGCAAGTTTGGAGATCAGCAAAGAGCTAATGGGTGAGATCCTCATCTGGTGTAAATCGGTGTAGTTCTACTGCGATCACTCCATTCAGGGCCGGCTCTGGCTTTTTGGCCGCCCCAAGCAAAAAAAAAAGAAAAAAACGGGGCGGCCAGAACGGCAAAGCAAAAATAAAAACCTGCGGCGCGGCCGGATCGCGGGTGCAGGGGGACCGGCTGGCGGGGAGGGGAGGGGGAGGAAGCAGGCGGGAGAGAGAGAGAAGGGGGCGGCCAGGACTACAGCAGGGGCGCTGCCACACGGCCCCTCCCGCTGCGCCGCCGCCTGCCGCCTGCCGCCTGCCGCGAGGGCTCCGCTCCGGTCGCCGGGGAGGGAAGGAAGAGGACTGCCCTGCAGGGCGCTCTGGTTCTCCGCACCGCCGCCCCCTACAGGGCAGCCGGACCGGAACAAAAAAAAAAAAAATGCGGCCGTCCCGCCCTAGGTATGGGCGGAATGCTGCCTCAAACAATCTGCCGCCCCAAGCACCAGCCTGCTCAGCTGGTGCCTGAAGCCGGCCCTGACTCCATTGTGATCAGTGGAGTCATGTGATTTATACCAGCTAAAGATCTGACCTTCCAAAGTCTCCTCTGCCATCATCTCAGATTCCAGATACCAGGAGGATGAGCACTATATAAAAAATAGATAGGTAGATTAGATGGCTATCTAGGGTCCACAGTAACTGCCAACTCACCACACGTTAGACCAAAATATATACATACATATAGGCAGGGCATTCGGTGTATGTTTTGTGACCTGATCAGAAATCCATTGTTCTCTGTTCAGACCATGGGTGAACCAGCAGAGCTGTGTGCAGGAACCCCCGCTGGAATAATTGTAGGTGCTAAAAACTGGGATTGAGGTGCACTGGCAGAGCTGTGAGCAAGGCTTCAATGGCAATGTGAATTAAGTGCTGGGACCAATTGCACTGGCGGAGCTGTGCATAGGTACCTGTATCAAGATCGACCTTCATCAGTGGAGCACTGTGGGAAAAGCTTACCTGATACCTGACAGTCTGGTGTTTAATTCTAGCTATTAATGCCAATCTCGCTTTAAAGAGTGTCTGATTCACTGTGCCCTTCCGAAACAACCATCCCAAATACTAAAAGAAAAACAACTCCCCATGCAAAACTAGCTTGTAATTCCCTGAGCACAGAGGGGTTAAATAACACAAAACATAACTCTTTAGAGGTCTCCATCAGAACGCCTCTCTTGCTCCACAACCTCGACGGCCTTGTTTTCTGTATTTTAAGAGATGAGGTCACTAGTGTCAGTAATATTAGACTCACTCTGTGTGTGATGGGGAAGCAGACCAGATGCAGTTCCTGTGTTGCACCCCTGCCCCCATCCTCTCCTCTCCCTCTCCCCCGTCCTCTCCTCTCCCTCTCCCCCCTCCCTTGCACTACTGTGCTGCAGAAGCCATTGGTTCAGTCCCTGTCTCTAAGGCACCAAGCCTGGGATCACGTAATCAGTTCTGGGTAGTAACTTGCCGTTGACCATTTCCTGGGAGGAAAGGAAAGGCAGGAAGGAAAAACAACAACTGGTCAAAAGTTCCACTGGTGAGTTTTAAAAAAAAACCTGTTTGAATCAGACAAGCTGGTTTCATTCAGAGAAATTGAATCCTACAGAGCAGTGAGCAATGAGTTCTCAGCAGCAGGAATTACTGCATTTGGTGTGTTTTTGTTGGGGGGAAGAGGGAGTTTGCCATAAACAGGATTTGGGAATGAGAACATGTATCTCCTTATCGGTATATTTTCCCCTTTGCAGCTATACTTGATAGAATCAATGGGGTCTGGTGGATGGAGCCGAGGAGTAGAAGTCAGGACTACTATTCTTTCGTGCCACTTCCCTCTTCAGGATTGGCGATTTTTATAGCCTTCATACAAAACTCATGAACATAGGCCAGGCTGTCATGCAGATTAGCCTCTCCGAGGTCTACTGATATCCAGTCCACGTTGAATCTTTGGTCTTCCCCTTGGTCATCTTCCATCCACAATTATTGCAAGAGCCATCCTACCGATACAGCTTTCCGATCTCCAGTGGATAAACCCTTACCAAGGTAGCCTAGCCTCCCTCGACTTGTCTTCTATTGGAACAAACTGCATTAGGCCCCTTAAAACTCCATTTCATATCCTAACATGGTGTCCAACCATTTGACCATCTCAATAACTTCAGCTCTGTGGTGGACAGCACACTGATTTTCTTTCTTGTGGCTGGGCAAGTCTCTGTTCCATTAAGATGGGTCAAATTACAATTGTCTACATGCTGTCTTTTAACTTTATTGGCTTCTTTTTGTCACAGACAACTGGAGTCAGCTCACACCATTTGCCCCACGAAGCTTAGTACAATGGCAGACATCACTCAGGAGGGCACCATCAGCAGCATCCATTGCTCCTAGGTATTTAAAGTCTTGCACTCTTCTTCTATGGTTTCTGTCTGTGAGATCCTTCATGGTGAGTCCTCCTACCTCAATTATCATAGCCTTGGTCTACCAACGTTCACTAAGTCCAGCCCGCTCAAAACTATGTTGCCACTGTTCAAAGTTGGCTCCCAAGGTCTCACCATCTTCTGCACCTATCACTAACAGAGAACAGCAAGTTCCAAGGCAGCTGCCGTCATATATTCTCACCTATCACATCCATGACAATTGCAAACAAAAAGGGGCTTGACGCTGAGCACTGCTGCAGGCCAATGATTACTGGTAATTCTGTACTGTAGCCCCATTTAGTCTGGACTACAGTAGTCACTCCATCATACCTATCCTGGATAAGCTGGACATAGCTTTCTTGCACACCTTTCCATCACAAACTCCACCCAATTCGTTTTCTTGGTACACGACTGTACGCCTTCTCCAGGTCCACAAAGTCCATAGCCAGTTGCCATCTCTTTTCTCTCAACTTCTCCATGAGGATTCATAGCACAAATACAGCATTAACAAACATACTTGTAAGATAAGTGATGCCTTCCCTTCCCAGTGACTTTGCCAGGAGCTAGGACTCATTAGTATTACTTGCATTGCAGCAGTGCCAAAGGTCTTCAGCCCCATCATGCTGGGCCCTGTACAAACATAAGACAGTCCCTGCCCTGAAGAGCTTAGCCTAGAAGGGCTTGTCTACACCATACATTGTACTGCACTAACTATCACAGTAGTTAAAGCAACATGATTGCCCTAGTGTGGATGTTGTTATACCGGTGGAAAGGGCTTTATACTGGTATAGCTATTCCCATATAGGAAGGGGAATACTTTATACTGGTTTAGGGCATATTTTTGCCTATATAACTGCATCCACACTAGGGGTTTTATCATTAAAAAATGACAGCCCTAACCAAAATGGTTATACCATTTAAAAAATGTGTGTAGATCATACCTTAGATCAGAGGTAGGCAACCTATGGCACGCGTGCTGAAGATGGCACGCGAGCAGATTTTCAGCGGCGCTCAGACTGCCCGGGTCCTGGCCACTGGTCCGGGGGGGGGGCTCTGCATTTTAATTTAATTTTAAATGAAGCTTCTTAAACATTTTAAAAACCTTATTTACTTTACATACAACAATAGTTTAGTTATATATTATAGACTTATAGAAAGAGACCTTCTAAAAACGTTCAAATGTATTACCGGCACGCGAAACCTTAAATTAGAGTGAATAAATGAAGACTCGGCACACCACTTCTGAAAGGTTGTCGACCCCTGCCTTAGATAGCTGGGTTCTATTCTCAACTCTGCCACTAACAATTGTTCAGTGGCCATGAGGCTGTGTCACTTATCAGTGGCTCACCACCATAGCCCTTTATAAAATGGGGATAAAAAAATCTAATGCCTTCCTGGCACAAATCTTTGGAGACTTAATTAATTAACATTTGTAAAGCATGTTGAGATTCTTATATGTAAAGAGCTATCAAAGAGCAATGTATGGGCTTGGGGTTATGGCATGGGGCTGGGAGTCAGGAGAGATGGATTCTACTGCTGGGTTCACCTCAATTTCCTCATCTTCGAAACAGAGATAATGGTGACAATCTCCCAGGCCTTATTAATTAAGGTTTGAAAAGTGCACCGATCTATTGAAGAGAAAGGTGCTCTGTAGGGATAAAGTATGATCGTAATGATTCTGTTTTCTGGGATGTAACAGTGCAGTCATGACCCCTGTTTATTGTTGACCCTTGTTCTGCGTGGGGCCCAGACGGCATACCAAGCACTGACTGATCCTGCAATAAAATTCTCAATTAACTTCAAAACATCACCTAAGTCTCTCAGGTTTAGAAATGTAAAGGGATGCTGCTAAGTATTCTTCTATCAGTGGCAGAGCCAGACTACAACCCAGGAGTCCCAGCTCCCAGCACTAACCCCCAGACTTCACCCCACTCTCCAAACTGGGAGTAGAACCAGGAGACAGGCCTCCCAGGCCCCCTGCTCTTACCACTAGACCTCATGCCCCTCCCAGCACTGGGACTATAACCCAGGCATCCAGGCTCCTAAATCCCCCCACCTGCTAGGACTGGGAACTAGGGTGACCAGATGTCCCGATTTTATAGAGACAGTCCCGATTTTTGGGTCTTTTTCTTATATAGGCTCCTATTACCCCACCCCCTGTCCCG